TATATTAAAGTTTTTCTTCATTACCCATTCAAGCCATCTCCAGCCATTATTGGTGTAATGTTTTATTCCCCTAGCGGGTAAACTCTTTTTTCGCGTAAGCGTATTTAAACTAGGCCTAATTGTTCATATTTAGGCGCCTGTATTGAGAAGGTTGGAAACGTATAATAGTTGTGAAGTGGTAAAATTTTGAAATTATGGTATCAAGAAGTGTAAAAATCAACAGTCGTTATGTTTTTTTTTTTGTAAATTTCTTATGTGTATGTGTCTACATCGCATTTATATATATATCATCTGAAAGCTGTAATTACTTTTTCGTGCAATGTGTTAGCTGAAGAGCATCGAAAATGAATGAATGAAGTTTTTACAGTGATCATATAAGGTGTAGATTATATAGCGGGTAAACTCGTACTTCTCGTACGAAAGGTATTTAATCTTTAGGCCTAATTGTCGATTTTTAGACGCCTGTTGGAATTTCCTTGAAATGTATTGAAATTGCTTTAATTATAAGCCAGGTAAAAGTAAAGAAGTAACTTAATGTGTTTCCTTGCATGTCTGTTTATATTTCTGAAGTAACTTAATGTGATAAACGTCGTACTTTTGCACACGTATAGAACACTACACGTTAAATGTCATTCAATTTTGCATTCATATAAATGTAAAATACCACTGTGTAATTAGCCAATCGGAATATTGGGTTTCCACGTGAGCTAGCACGCATAGACTCACGCACTGTCTGACACACATTGTTCTTTTAACTACTTAAATAGTTGGAAATAATTCTAGGACAAATTAGGGAATCGACTTTAGCATAAAAGTGATGTTCTGTCTCACTTACAGGTTATTAGTACATCAATCATTCACGTTGACTCTGTAAGTAAAAAAAGATACTGGCATGAGTTTTGAACAAGGATCAGACTATGTTGTGTATACAATTTGTTAACATACTTTCATCACATATGGTATTCGTCTGACTCAAAACTGTTCATGAAGGTCAATAAAAAAAGGAAAAATGTGAAACTGGTGTCCTGTATAATTTTAATCCTAAATATTGATATATCATTTCATAACTTAGTACAAAAATCTAGAAATATATAGAAAAGTAATTGGTAAAAGCAAAGATCAAGCCAGCTACATCTCTTTCTGCACCCCTTCAAGAATTTTAACTTCCAATATCCTTAACTATGTAATATAAAATAGGAGAACCCATCTGAATTATAACTATACTATTGTGCCACCTATGACTGCAGTACATTTCTGGGCTACTTCAGCTATACCGCTACTTTATCAACTGACGGAATTTAATAGACCAATTCAACAATATTGCCTAATCGAGAAACCAACAGTCTAGGATGGAAAGGTACCATGGGAGGCATATCATGCACGTTTTGAAATAATTTTCAAAGTGAATAGACGGAATCGTGAAAAGCAAGCTATTCATATTGCTGCACATTTAAAAGCACCAGCTTTAACAATGCTAAACAACCATTTACCAACTACCAGGCACTATTGGCTGTCTTATCAAATAGATTTGGCGTGTTACATCAAAAGGCGGTTTCTAAAGTTCAGGAGCACAAAAAGAAGGTGTGCATATTTGAGTAAAGCTGTTTAGTTAGGATCAATTAAGGTCACAGATAAATAACTAAAGACATCATTTAGGAATTTGGGGATTGCTAGTATAACTAGTGTCAAAAAATTTCTTTCTTATGGACGCCCAGAAGAACTCAAGGAATTAGTTATACAACTGTTTATTCGGAATAGAAAAGTATGCTTCAGAACAGGAGGTATTTCAGTTCCAGATTAAAGAAACATATTGCCGAGAACTGTAGACAAAATCTTTAGGACGTAAAACTACTCCCAAAGGATGACAGGAAAGTGGAATTGCTACAAATGGGGAAAACATTGACATTACCTTCAAAAGTGTGAAGAATTAGCTATTTATAATAAACCAAGGAGACACTATCTTTAGAACGAGAATACTCCATCTGCTCTAGTTGAGATAAGGAGTACTTTGTTTAAAGAAACCAAGCCACGATTCAACGTATTTATTAATGATAAGCATTACACTCTGTTGATTAACTTTGGTCCTATGGCTACCATTATTAGACCTGATCTTGCAATGAAAGATTGGAAATCCCTACTAGAGAAGAAGCAGAAAGATGGATTGACGTGTACAACTGGTCATAAAATTCTAGCAAAAGGAAAATTCCAAATATTTTACCGTAGGAAGTTTCTCTACACAATATGATGTGGAGGTGAATGACATTGAGGGAGAACTGTAGGAAGCTTCTCTACACAACATAATTTGTGGATAAGAGTCATTGAAGGAGAATGCATAGCAGGAATATACTTTATTTGGAAGCATAGCTATAAAAAGTTTCACAGTTCTTGTGCACTACATGGCAATCACAACAATAAAGATTGAACTTCTTGGGGTAACAAGGAGATAGAGCACAAGAAAACAAAAATAAACATCCTAAAGCGCCACAGAGCACAATCTATAAAGATATGTGATTCAAACCAAAGGTTATCCATTCACCGTGATCGTCTTTGGAAGTACATCAGCGGCAGAACAACCACCTCATTAGCTTCGGAGAAGACTTTGCAAGCACGTCAACTTGCAAAAGAGTCCCAAGATCACTATCGATGTATCACCTAGTATAGAACTACCAGTAGATTCCCCTGTTCATCTACCTTAAGATAACTAATCCAGTAGCAAAATAGCAAGTGATGATAGAGGATCAGAGAGCATTCCATCTTCATACCATAAGCCACGGAAAAGAAAACCCCCAAAAATATTTTGTGCCTGAATAATTTAAGGACAATACATAAATAAGTAAACGATTTTAATTTGTTAACCAAAATTGTGGTTTTACTTTAAATTTCACATATTTAATTAGTGATTAAATGATTTCATTGTTTATATTTATGAATCTTAAAGCTGTTAACTTTCAAGAGTTACTTTATTGCTAATTATGAAAGTTGAAAAATAATGTGCCAATATTTTTTTGTGTGTGTAATAAGATTGTTTATTCCACAATTTAAAGAGGGAACAGTAGTGTAGCCTGTGTTCTTAAATTAGAGTTTATAGAAATGTGTATTGTTGTTTAGCTAGAAGTAAGTTTTATATAACATCATGCCGATACACTCTCCAGAAGTTTAGGAAACAATTTGAGATGCATATATAAAAACAGGTAAGGCTAGAGTTAGATATTGAGTGAGTGAATTTGTTTGTCAGTTAGTGAGTAGTCAGTGCACCTGTTATTGCCAGTTAGTACATTCAGTGCTTTGAATATTGAATTTATGTTTGAATGAAGGAATAAAGACACTGTGAAGTGACATACATTCGATGAAATTACCAAGTAAATGGAATTTCTGTTAGAAGAAGTATCTTTACGGAGTTAGGCCTTTCAGTTAACCGTGGGATTCGAAAATGAAAACATGAAAAGTTTTGTTGTTGTTATCTAATAATCCTAAATCAACCGGCCAACAATAGAAAACATTACAACCGCATCATAGATTAGTAATCTTTTTTAAAGTGAAAGTCGTGTGTTAAAATTAAATGCTGAAGTTATTTTTCATTTTGAAACACAATCGGCCCAATTTAATGTAGCTTATTAAATACATGTAAGCCTTGGATCTGCTTAATCTTACTCGATATTCCATATAGAGATATTCTACGATTTTTTTTTGTGAAACCACCTTACGTCAAAATATCAGACTTGAACATATATTATTTTCGAGTGTTTTTAACGGAATGTTACAAATTCATTAAGGTATTTGAAAGTCTAATTCCTGTAATTTTTTGTGAAATATCAAATTGTTCTGATTCCCGTACAAAAAAAAAAAGGTTTTTCACCCCTGAAACATTTCTTTATGAACATTAACACTACTATATTGATTAAATTTTTAACTGTTCTTCCGTTTTCGTTATTTTTAAAACTAGAACTTTCTGGATTCTTTCCTAGAGAACTATTAGCCTAATTGATCAAATTATTTCTACATTTTTGTATCAGTTCATGGAATATCTCAATGGAGTAGTGAAAAGTAACTTTAATAGTATTGACTTGTGATACGAGTATTTGCAGTTGTTTGTAAATAATTGTGGCATGTGAGACACTATGATTGATGTATTTTTTCGCACTGATTCTATAATATTATGACTATTTCTTACAAAAAATACTGGTTGTACTGATTATTAAAGTGCTTATGGCAAAAAAAAGGAAACACTTCTGACGAAGTTCGAACTTATCAGTGAAAGCACATAGCTAACTTTGTGATGAGATATTACACAATGAAATCAAGGTAAATACTGATAGAACAGCAGAGGAAGCACTGTGGTAAAATATAGTGTATAAAGCATGGCATGTTAGAGCATTATTTACATTTATGTGAATTTATTTTCAATACTTGTTGAATATTTTAGGTAGTATTTATTTATTTATTTTTATTCTTGGTGTATTAACTTGATTTCCTGTAAAGGTTTACACTCAGTATAGGCCCGATTTGCGTCGTGTTACAGCAACATGTCCTGTTGTCAGAATGAAATAATAGTTAATGCAGTTTTTTTCTAAGCACGCTTTACACGTGTCAGGCGACGCTCACGTAGCTTAAGTTTCGGTTTTTAAAACAGTTTTTACCAAATATGAGTGCAGAATAATATATGTGTCAAATCGTCTGACTAATGCTTCTTTACGAAATATAGAATCGTCTGAAGTTAAAGTAGCGTACAACGAAGTCTCTATTCGAAATTCATGGAGAGTGTATTGTGATTTCACAACCTTGTGACTTGGGGGTAATGTCTTCTAGCTATATCTGCTGTTATAAAGACTGTTATAATCACTTTGCAGTATACTTATGCCTTTGATGACATAAATATATCCAAAAGTTCGTCTGAAGTCGAAATAATTCACCAAAGTTTTAAAACTATTCGGTTCGTTTAAAAATGAGTTCAAATCCATCTGTGTGTATATATCCATAGATAGTGTAACTAAATATATGACAGGTGAAGAAACGAGAATCGGGAAGTTTGATGTTTCTTATCTTGGAAATTATATCAATAGTAATAGTTTACATAGTGTTGTTTATCTCCATCTCTTCATTTGATTATAAACGAGTATGGTCCTCCGACTTAGCACATCATATATATATGTGTGGATTCCTAGAAACCTGAAATCAGGATTCCAGATATAATCGTGGAAAATACCTTACTTAAATAAGGATCTAATTTATGATAACTCCAGCGTCTAAAAAGGTAATATATACCTCCAAAGTCGAAGTTTCAAAGGCCATGATATCTATACTTTACGTGGTTCTTCTTATTGGAATTCTTTTATTTGTATCTTATTATCAACATTCAAAGTTTTTAATATGTATATAGATAGGTGGATATTAGGTGTAATGTGTGTATTATTCCTATTACCTCTGTTATTCATTTTAGAAATTCGTTTATTTTATTTCAGCCAAGAGGATACAAGAAGTAGCAGACATTAGAGTAAAGTTCCCTAATAAAATACCGGTAAGTTTGCACTGTATTTTATTATCAGCCTTACGACACGTAGTTTAATGCGTATAGTTTAACATGACCTGGTTCGGTTTCTAAAAGGGTTACTGTACTGGTGTATTAGTCTCCTAGAACTCACTATAGATGCCATGTTCCTTGCTTGGTTGGTTTCAGGGTTCCATCATGCCTTATTTTAGGCTTGCAAATTATACACTTGTGAAGATCTTAAACAACTATAACGAAACTGTTAGTGACTTTGAGATCTAAATACTCGTCATTTAAATAAGACTTTGTCAACGTTCTGAAACCTGACCACATATAACAGTATCAGAGGTTTGTGGGTGATTTATTTATGCACACTTCAGTTGTTATAGGTGCAGTTTTTCTCTACAGAACTTCTGTGACGAGAACTTTGTCAGTGTCCGAAACAAGATGGAAATTAAACTAAAACAATATATTATCAACTATTTAGCATATACCACCTGGCAGATACTAAAGTAGTAAAGAGTTCTACCACATACACATACACACATAAAACAATTAAAAAACATCTCTAATTGCCTATAAAAAAAGAAAGAGATGTTGTGGATGAGCGACATTTGAAATTATATTTGCATACTACCTTGAGAAAGAATCTTTGTAGAAATATGAAATATCTCATACAGATTTAAAAGTATAAGACTTCCAATTCGTGACATTCTATTTTCTGACGTCCTGAGCTAAACTTTCATGTAATTTAATCAGTTCAATAGTGTTTTCACATTACACTTAGCCAACTAGATCACACTTAGAGGACAGTCTAACGTGGAAAGCAATTGGATGACTCGAAACAGGACAGGGTCATAGACAATTTGCGTCCTGACTTCGAGTGACCCAGGTGTGAAAACCATTTCTTTCTAGGTACAGAAACTGTTCCTGCAAGATCCCTGGTCACAATAATGACCCAGGACCTATATATATCCTATTGGCCAGAACAGAGTGGAGTGTATCAGCACCAGCTGTTTCCTGAAAGCTGTATATCTGACCTCTGGTGTTCGAATATCCACCCAAGCTATTAGGAATAGACTGCATAGAATGAGGTTCTATTATCATCGACAGAAGGTGGTGTGAGTAGCACCTCAATTGGAACAATGACAGGTGAATCAAAGCTCACTTTGGAGAGTAAATTCTGACGTGTAAGGTTTGGAGAACACGTCATAGGTCGGTTTTGGATTCATGCGTTCGGGATACGGAAGTATTTGGGAGTGGTGGGATATTGGTTTGGGGGTTGTCTTGCAGAGTGGCTCTGTGAATGTTCTGAGATACAGTCTTTGGGGTGGTGAGATATTGGCTTGTGCTGGCATCTCCGTCAACGTTGCTCAGACCTACATGTTATGTAGAGTGGTTCTGTGAATGCTGAGATATAGGGACGATATCCTTGAACATTATGGGTGCCCATATGCTGGTTCTATTTGACTATTCCTTCATTCTAATGAATGCCAGACCACATACAGCCAGGACTGTGGACGAATACCTTTAGTCTAGTGGAATCGAAGGGTTAGTGTTTTGGATATTCTGTGGAGACGTGTAGCACATCGACACAATACAACCCTATCCCCTTCCCATCTGACAATAGCTCTGCCTGAAGAATAGTCCTTGGTTCCATAGGAATTGATCAGCTGCCTCATTGAGAACATGAAGAATCATTGTTAAGCATGTTCAACAGTCCGGGTATGACACATTCCCTACTAGTGTACTTTTGTGAACAATTCTATATGTAATATCCTGAACGTTATTTTTCCTCATACAATTTATCCAACTTATGTCTATGCCTCGCGTTTTTGAGGAAGTATTTTTCATAGTCCTTAACATATGCAAATTGTATGTTTTCACTTGTAATTTGGTTTTAAAATCATGGCGTTCCTTAACTTTTTGATATATGTATTTAACAGCCCGATCTAAAATCGTTCTTGTTAACCACCGTATCTACATATATAAACATTAAAATAAGTAATAATTCCTTCAGTTTTCAATAAATTCTTAAAATTTATATTCAAACAATAAATGTCAGCCCAAACTTTGATTAAAAATGATTAATATTAACTGGAAATATTATTTCAAAATATGGCTTAACTATGGTAGTTGGATATTAAATTAATATGCTTCTATAAGCCGTGAAAAATATTTTTTGAATGACTAATAACTGTTCCACAGTTTAACATTGTACAGGTACTCGTAACACTTTTCATTGTCTACGATTTTTCAACCAGTTTTAAGTAACATATCCTTGAAATACTCAACCAATTAGTATAAGAAATAACAAGTTGTATTCTTTAATGTTTTAGTTTATTTTCCACAATCTCATTATTTAAATGTTTTAAATGCAATACATCCAAGTTAAAAATTCGGTGAGATTCCTGACATCCCACCTACCTAATCAAAAATCAGCTGAACCTGCATTTTCTTTTGTTCAAATTACGGTTGGAACCTACACACATTTTCGACTTTAAATTATTAATCTATAAATATTACTAAACCCAACATACTGCTATTTTTTCACCGTTTTGTATATTCTACGCAGCTTTTCTTGGAGCAGTTTTGAAACGAAGACTAAATCATCATGAAATGAAACCTGCACTCTGATTCGGTAATCCTCTGTCAACATTGACGGCTCGGAAAACCAGGATACACTACTCATTCACAGCTTAGATATGACGACAACATAGCCGCCTCTGAACGCGAGTGTGTATTTTAAAAATACATATATTAAAAATTTATGGAAATAGTAGTTATAAAAATGTCTGTTGACACAAGTGGTAACCACTCGAACGTTCAAACGTGTAGCCTTTCACCTACTATTCGCATGTAACTTCAAATATTGAATTAAACTTTACATAAACTTAGCAAACGTTTGTCAAAGAACAGTACTGCCTTAAGTAAAACTAGGACTCTATTAACACACTGTCTGAAAAAACAACAACAATAGTATGCATTGAGAACATAAAATATTTTGTATATTATTGACCTTCTTCAACTGTAATCACGCTTTATTTAATTGTCACAGATTTACATATAACACCTAAGACAGTGTAAAATGAACAGTGAATTTTTAAAATTTTCTTTATAATGATCGAGTCGTAAAACAAATTACGACAACATACCGCAGCAGAAACCTGTGTACCTCAACGACCTAAACAATTATGTATAAACTCTTAGGAAATATATTGTTTGTTTGTTTACTTTGTAGTTAAGCACAAAGCTACACAATGGGCTATCTGTGCTCTGCCTACCACGGGTATCGAAACGCGGTTTTTAGCGTTGTAAGTCCGCAGACGTACCGTTGTGCCACTGGGGGGGGGGGCAGGAAATAGATTCCACAACTATCTACCTAGCCCTTTTTTAATGAAACAAGAATCATTCTTACCTATCTTTCAGTTGGTCGAAATTATCTCCTGTTAGTAAAATACGGAAATATACAGTACACTTTGGCACAAGTTTACTTACAATCAAACATTTGATTTATCTTGATTGTCAATATTATCGGTACACATTGCAATAACTTGACTTAAAGTAACGTTAATTAAGCTTTTAAGTTACACGTAGGATTTTATATCATTTGGTTCTGTTCCCAGTTTATTGCTGTATTTTAATATTTTAATCAAATTCTGTAAGGGAAGGATGTGACTGGAAATGGTTTTTCATAATTAATAGCTGTATTTTTGTCTAATGTTTCCCATGTCCACTTTTTTGTGTGTTTTGTTTTTCACAGGTGGTTGTAGAAAGGTTCTTCAAAGAATCTTATCTTCCCTCGTTGAATAAAACCAAGTTTTTAGTTCCCCAAGAACTCACTATGTCACAATTTGTCACAATTATCAGGTAAGGACTCCAGTTCTCTGACATAAAGTTCTGTGCATTTAGTGTTCTTCATTCTGACTTCCAGTGAAGTTTCGAGATCTATATTCCGTGGTTGAATTTACACTATTTGATTAATTATATAATTTGATTGCATATATTGGCTGAAATCGTGAATACTGTTGAATCTCTTTCTTTGATTTATAAACAACATCTTTAATGATGACCTGATAAGGCTTAATGTCATGCGAGCATGTTCAATCTTGTATTTCGTTTTTCTTTCAGACTTTCCTCTTCTTTTTTTTCATCTTCTTTATATTATAGTTTAACTTAAATGCTCTGAGATCTTGACGGAACAGTAATTTGCTTCATTAAAAAACACACAAATAAATGAGATTTTATGCTTTAAAAAAGGCGTCACTTTTGTTTGTACTTAACGGTTGCAGACGAGTAAAGATAGCTTTCCTCGAATTAAAATATAGCAGAAAAAAAGAACTTGGAAGATGTATATAATAGAGCTTAAAAAATTACCTTGTGCATTTGACTGAACATAGATGGTGCTGTAGTGTTAATCAGAAAAATTATTCTACACCCTTGACCTACCTAGGCCCATATAATTAAGATCTTTATTAAGAGTTACAAACTCTGAAAGTTTTTGATTATCTGTTCAGCTTTTTAGTCTCTGAATATACAAGCTTCACCTTTCGTCATTTACATGTTTATTCTTAATTTATATTAGAAACTAATTAAGACAATTATAGTTTTCTTAGATTCTGATAAAAACTGTTTTAGATCAAGAAAGCAAACTTATTTCACCTTTCAGTCTGTGCATACAGTAATGGAAGTTGTTAGTTTGTAGTTGTGGTACCCGTTAGGGATTGCTTATTAGAAAAACTTGTAGCCCACACTAACAAACATTGTTGTATACTGTTTATAATCTGTTGAAACGTTGTAACCACACAAATAATACTCTGTTTATCTGATAATGAATATGTTTTTCAATTATAGTGACAGGGTACTTCTTTTATTTGTTTATATTTTCTTAGTTAGATTTAAGTTTAGATATATATTTCCTTAGTACTATAACCTCAGTTTTCAACTCAGTAGCGTGGTGAAACTGATTAGCTTCATCGAATAAATCCACATTAACAAGTTACGGTTATCATAGAACAATGGTGAATTGATACTGACCGAGTTTAAGTCTAGGGTTAATAAAGATTGGACACAGCGTATAATGATAAAAACTTTACTAAACGTAAATAAAAAGGATAAAAACACAGTGTGCACACTTGCGTGGATCACGATCACAAGCTAAAAAAAGATAGAAAAGAAAGTGCGATTCGAGAATCACTTCGGTACTGTTTTACAACCCGGTTGTTGTTTTAAACGAAACCTTGGTTTCTTTGTTCTGGTAGCGTCAGCACGTGACTGATCATTCTCTCAACAGCTTTCACACAATGGGCTACCGGAAGGTGACTTTTGGCAGGTCAAGACGGTGAAACCTGTTACGACAGAGACGAGCTGATTGGGAAAAAACCTTAAGGGACTGTATGTTTTGTGTTAACTTGTTCGTATTCACAACTAGATAATAAACTTAGAATCAACATTGATACTACAAGGAGAAATAAATCTATGGTGTATTCCTATACCACAGTAGCATAAATTTAATTTTTAAACTGAACGCTGTAAGTAGCATTAACTTAGAACAATGTACGTCTTTAGTAGTATAACTTCAGTTCTGAACTATTTATATATATACATTACATCCTTACCAGTATAACTTCGGTTCTGAACTCTTTATATATATATATATATATTATATCCTTACTAGTATAACTTCAGTCTGAACCTATTTATATATATACATTACATCCTTACCAGTATAACTTCAGTTCTGAACTATATATATATATATTACATCCTTACTAGTATAACTTCACTTCTGAACTATATATATATATTACATCCTTACTAGTATTACTTCACTTCTGAACTGTTTGTTCTTAGTGTGTCAACAGCGTTTGGTTTTAAGATAAATAATTATATTTTAAAAAATCCTATTAAACGTTAGACAGGGGACAGTTTTTTATTGTTGTTTTTCACGTACACAACGAAAGTTCTCAACAGCGTGTTATTAGGTCTGTAAGGGAAGCTTTGCAAGTGCATCTTAGAAAGGCATCACTGGTTACTTACACTCCTCCCTTGTGGTTTTGTTCGCTGTGAACACTTGACATAGTGTATCATTAGTTAACACAATCATGCGAGCAAAATATGGGGTTAAGAAGCAGGCCACACACACATTTAAAACTTTACAGAGTATTTAAGTGTATTTCAATTGATTGATAGATAATTCATAGCAATATACACAATTACTTATAAGAATAGACAGAAAACAAAATAAGCAGTATACAAACCTGATCTCCTCAATCTTCGATTGAACTCTGTTTATATGATACACGTGTGTAAAACTGGACTTTGGACTGTTGCTGTGAAATGAATTTGGCCTTGAAGCAGCTGTGAGTTTTTATTATGCACAGGTTTCCTGTTGACTACTATAAACGGAATCTTGTTGTTGTTTTTTGTAATCTGTGTTATTGATTTCCATTGCTATGGAGCACGTGATAATTTGCTACTAACATGTTTTAAGTTCGTTAGATCTTTATTTGCAATAAAAAAATCAAGTAGTTTTTTGCTTGTTTGTTGTTAAGCGCAAAGCTACACAATGGATTATATGTGCTTTGCCCACCGTGGGTATCGAAACCCGATTTCTAACGTTATCAACCTAAAAACTTGCCCCTGTGCTACTGAGTTGTAACTAAGTTGGACTTGTGAGTATATAAGATGTTTATGTATAATGTTATTACACAATAAATTAGACCGAAAAGTAGGTGTAAGAATTTAATGCACAAACATTTACGTATCTATAAACTAGAAAGGCATTCAGATAGTGTAAACCTCACTTCGCAGTGTTTTTGACGTTTGCAGAAACCAGCATGAAATATACACCAACAAATTCCTCACGTTTAAAAATGTAGGCGTGTGTGTGTGTGTGCCAAGACCCTCTTTTTATCTCAACTTGTTATCGAGTTTTGGCCATTTTTCAAAAATACCTTTTGGCCTCCATTATAATGAAAGTCGTTGACCTTCTGTGTGAACTTAACCTTTGGCGTACTTTCCCTAAAGGTTAATCAATTGGTCTTTGTGGAAAACTCGAGCTTTGTATCAAATTTAACCAAAATCAGATGAACAATTTTCGAATTATTTTCTACACACACACACACACACACACACACAAACCGGAATACAAACAACACCCCTGCCCTTGGCGTAAAAGAATCATGGAGAGCAATGGCGTAGCAATAATATGTAACTACATCATTCTAGTGGAGATGTTGAAGTTATGTCGCGCTGGACTCTAAGGGCCATTTCAGAAATTATAACATACTTGGGCATGAATAGCAATCTGATTTACTGGATTTCATTCGTTATTCTAACACTGAAGAATCGTTGATCTGAAATAGATACAATTTTCAGAAAATTAGCGAAGATGTTGAATCGTTTTGCTGATAATTTATACGTCAAAATCCCACGCTCTTAACAACTAATAATCAGTCAAGTGCGTTGCACGAAACGATATTTGAATTTTGGAGTATTTTTATTAAATATGTATCTAATATTCCAATTATACGATGGCGTATTAAAATCTTTGAAAGAGTTTTGTTTTAAATAAACTACTCAGAGTCTTCAAAAAATAAAAAGCTCAGCGTAGAAGCGTTTTAAGTCGCATATTTGTTAAATTATTTTCCTATAAATAACTGTGATTAAGATATAATCATTTTTACTCTGAGACACTGGATATGGTTCGTTAACTTCAGATGCGAAGTTCGTACAGGTCATCTACTGTACAGGTATCATTAGCCTATATAGTTCCTTTTTAAGTTCAAGTGAATGCTCGTGCATTTTGTTGTTCTAGTCAAACCAATCAACATTTTACGCTCATTACAATAGAACATTACTGTACTAACAGTGGCGTCGGAACAGGGTATGTTGGGAGTGGTAAAGCACCCGTACTTTTACATATTTGACTTATATAGCAATTGTAAATTATATTAATTTTATGGGGTTTGCCCCCCAGACACCCCCTAGATTTAGCTACTTTAGCAGCACGGGAGCTCATAGTAAAATTTGCATGCCTAAGCCAAACCTTTGCTTTGCACTCCTTCTTACACCACTGACTAAATCTCCCTCCCATTTTCAAATGTCTGTCTGATGGCTTTAGTTATTCGACTTGTACGTGGTTTTCAACTTAAGGAACAATACATTGGTTAACTAATCTATCATATATTTTATGCAAAAATGTTATTGTAGACATCACTATATAGTAACTGACTTTTTTAAAAGAAATAAACTCTGCCTATACGTTGTTCATCTTGTCAATATGTTAATATGCCCTATAACCTACGCTCACATTGTCTAGCAATTTTGCAGACAGAACGATGTAACACAGTTTTATTTAAACATGTCGACTGAGTCACGCGCGATACATTTTTTTTTTGGCACTTGTGTGAATGTATTAAATCACTTTAACTTGACTAATAATGATCGTCAATTTTTCTGGTAAATCGTGATATTTGCAAGCATTTTATGAAGCTCGACGGTAAGGTTGAGAGCTTATAATGTTTAAATTCGGGTTTCGATCCCTGCAGTGGACATATCACAAGTGGACCGTTATATAGCCTTACTCTTAACAACGTACAAAGAAGTATTTTATTAAATACTTTTAACTTATATTTGCATATTTAAATTGCGCCTTAAGAGACTTTAGTTTCGATAATATGTTTAATTTAAAGAATTAGGATGATTTTCGATTAGAACCTATAGGAATCAAAGTGGGCTTGCCATCAGGATAGTTATTTGGGTAACTGTTAGTTTCATCAGTTTACTACTACTACCGCCCGCCCCCCAGTGGCACAGCGGTATGTCTGCGGACTTACAACGCTAGAATCCTTGTTTCGATACCCGTG